CACAGTCAACTTACAGTTATCCTTTCTAGCTTTGTTTCCCATTGTTCTTTGATTAACTATATTATAGTTTATAAAAGACATTATTGTAACTGCTATTCTTTTACTCTTTACTCCATCCTGTTTAAATGTTCTCTCTTCTTTTTAACTCTTACTGTTCCTTCTAGCCCCATTGACATTTTGGACTAAATAATTTGTTGGGTGGCACCTATGGCTCAAAGGAATAGGGCGCTGCTGGCCCTATATACTGGAGGTGGTGGGTTTAAACCCAGTCCTGGCCAAAATCTGCAATAAATAAATAAATAAATAAATAATATATTGTTTTTTGGTGGAGGGTGTCCTGTACATTTTAAGATGATTAGCAGCATCCCTGGCCTCTATTCTCTAGATACAAATGTCTCTCATTTGTGACAACTAAAATTTCTCCAAACATGGCCAAATGTTCCCTGTGGGCAATATCTGCCATAGTTGACAACTGCTCTTCTAGCTCTGTATGATTTTGGTCTCAGCCAAGGAGCCTCCTCTTACCATCCCTGCCTGCTGTGATGTTTTACCTTTTAGATTTTCTGTAGTATATTTTGTGTGGATCATACATTTGCCTTTCATTAGATTTTATTCTAAACTTCTAATTTATTTTCTCTTTCTCAACTTGTGTACATAGCTCTTATTTTTACAATTTGTAGAGGGCTGGGATCATGTATTATACTTTTTTGTTTACTTGATATTCAGCCCCATGATTTGTTAGTATTATAGTTTTAAACATAATTAATTGCGTTTTTCTTAATTTTTCTAATTTTTATGTGGTGATGATAGGGGTTTTAGAAAGTGAATTACTCTTAGAAAATGTGAAGATCATTGAAGTGTTCTAAAATTTGAGACTATAATGGTATTTTCAAGACTTTCAGACAATACTGATATAACAATTGTGTGTATACCTTGTAACAACTCTGGGAAAATTAAAGGCAATTAAGATAGTTATAAAAACTTAAGAGGGATATAATTTTTGTTCAGTGTGTTCATTATATAAGTAATCAGAAAACTGTACAGTAGGGTAGAAATTTTAGAAAAGTAAACTGAGAAATACAAAAGGTGGAAGGATTTGTAGAAACGTGAAAGACAAATGATTAGTTCCACAGAGTGAGATGAACAAAGTAATCAATATGTCGGGGTAAATTGTTAGGAATGATGGATGTAGCATCTGGTTAGGAGTAACTTGTGCAAAGCTGACAAATGTGATAAGTGAATGCTAGTAAGCTGAATATAAGTTGGGCACAGATAAGTTGGCTTCTTACTACAATGAAAGAGAAACATCTAGTTTGTTTAGCCCCAGCTGTTGACGATACAATTGATTTATAGAGTGCCCTCACTAATTTTTTAATTAGCTAATTCTAAGTAATAAAATGAAGTGAAGCCTGACTCTGACCATTTTTATAAGATGCTTTCATGAAAAATAATCCTAAGAATACTATGTATTTATTGTAGAAATGTTAGAAAGTAATGTAATGTATGGATAAAATAAAATTAGTTATAGTTCCTAAAACCAGAGCTAAATCACTGTTTCAGTTATTTTTTTCTCTTAAATTTTATATGGTCTCAGTTTCTTTCTCTAGACATAGGTATATTATGGGCCTATATGTATGAATAGATATATATTGATAATAAACATGTGCATGCTATATTGTATGTGTTTATATACATGTATATTTTGTATGTTTATATAAAACAAGGGTAGGTTAGTTTGTTTTGTATTGCCATAAAGGAAGAACATGCAGCTGGGTAATTTACAAAGGAAAGAGGTTTATTATTTTCCAGTTCTGCAGACTGTACAAGAAACATGGCATCCACATCTGCTTCTGGTGAGGGCTTCAGGGAGCTTCCAGTAAAAGTGAAGTGGATATGTCACATGGCTAGAGAAGGAACAAGAGGGGAGGTGGCAGCAATCTCTTTTAAATAATCATCTCTAGCCTGAACTAATAAAGTGAGAACTCACTCATAGGGAGGGCACTATTCATTAGGGATTTCACCACCAGCCCCCATGCCCTGCCTTGTTGTGCCACACACCTCCCACAAGGCCCCACATCCTGTCCAACACTGGGGATCACATTTCAACATAAGATTTGGAAGGGACAAATGTTCAAACCATATCAAGTGGTTACAGTGTATGAAGTGTTTTGTATCCTGTTCATTTATCATTATGAATACTTTTCTGTATTAGTAAATTTCTTGAGAGTGATACTTATTGACTACATAGCATTCTATTCTGAGATTATCCCCAAATTTATTTAACCATTCCACTATGGTTAAACATTTGTTTTCCTTTATTTTTTATTAATACATATGTATAAATATAAATAATTACAGTGAACCTCTTTACTGAAAATCTTTGATTAAATTTCTCATTTTCTTTGAGGAGTTGTAACTTTTACAACTGTCTCTCTGGGTTTACCTCACACAATTTATTCTGTCTTCATAAGTACAAAGGAATCCGGTTTTATAGCTGGATATATTGGCAGTGTCTTAGATGATAATTCTTATCCTTCCAAATGGTTAAGTGTGACTAAAGCACTGTTGTAGATTATGAGACATGTGTATTAGCTGAAATATACTGAGAAATGGGAACAGGGAAGCCTTTGTTCCCCCTTTCTTGTTCTTACTACCTGCAGTGTTGAGTGTATTAGCCAGAATGCCTATACTCTTCTTGGAATATGAGGCAACTTTAAATAGAAAAAGTTTATAGGAGAGCAAAAAGATGGAAGAAACTTGGTCCTCCCATAATTGGAGCTGCTTTGATTGTCTACTTTTGGATATTTACTTGGGGAAAATAAATTTGTTCCCCTCCTTGTTCCCTCTCCTCTTGGTTGCCATTATTTGATTATTATTTCTGGTTTTGGAGGGGCATGATGTAATCCTGGTTGATAAAGGATAACATTGTTTAAAGGTTCCATGTAATACCAGTAGGTCAAGTACATGCAAGGAAATATGCATTGTGTCATGGCAGACTCCAGATCCATGTTGAAAACTGAAATTTGCCTGTGACTGGAGAGAAATTAATTGGTGTTGAAAGGAAAACACTTAAAATGATACAGAAAACATACAAGTTTTGTAACTATTTGTATTGTTGAATTTTGTTTTCAAATGCTTTTAATAATTATAACTAATTATTTCAGAAAATGTGATAGCTTTTAGACAAAATACAAAACAGTAAGGATTGTATGTTGTATCACAAAAGAATAATCCCTTCCAGCTTTATGAATTTTTAATATTGTTAATTATCTTAATCACTTTGATGAGGTCATTTCATAAATGTAACTTTTATGTTCTTATTTTAACTTTGTTGAAAAATTTTGATATAAATTTTTTAAAATAGTTTTTATGATTGTCAACTGACTTTTTAAATATTGTTTGTAATCAAGAAAGTTAGTCATAGCATTAGATAAGTGAAGAATATACATTAAAAAGTTAATAAAACTATTTGAGCAGTTTTAGGTTTATAGAAAAATTGAGCAGAAAATACAGAGTGCCCATATACCCATTCTCCCAATGATGCATATTTTTATCTAGGATATTTCCTTATATATGTTTTACATAGAAAAAAGGCTCTACATCTCTACCACATATACAATAATTTATAATAGGAAAGCCTTATAATACTAAAAATCATTTCACTCTAACCTCAGGTTTTCTACCCTCATCATTATTAACATGTTAGGACAGATAATTCTTCATTGAGGGAGACTGTGCTGTGCATTCTAGGATGTTTAGCAGCCTGATCTCTGCCCACTATATTGCAGTAATACTGCCCAGTCACAACAACCAGAAATGTCTGTAGGCATTGCCAGATATCCTTGCGGGAACAAAATCACCCCTAGTTGAGAACTGTTGATCTAACTCATGTACTATGTTTTAGCAGTTTCTGTATTTTTTAGGTTGGGCCAAATTTCAGAGCTGTATAGTTCATTGAATCTTCACACTGAAGTTGTACAGGCAAAATTTGAATCTTTTTTTGTGTGTATGAGACAGAGTCTCACTTTGTCACTCCTTGTAGAATGCCATGGCGTCATAGCTCACAGCAACCTCAAACTCGGGCTCAAGCAGTTCTCTTGCCTCAACCTCCCAAGTAGCTGGGACTACAGCTACAGGTCGCTGCCATAACGCCTGGCTATTTTTAGAGATGGAGTTCTTGCTCTTGCTCAGGCTGGTCTCAAACTGGTGTGCTCAGGCAGTCTACCTACCTTGGCCTCCCTGAGTTCTGGGATTATAGGCATGAGCCACTGCACCAGGTTGAAAGTTTTGAGTCTTGCTCACCACTTGGGCACTGAAAGTAGTATACATTGTTTTACTAAACCTCAATTTCCTTCAGTGCAAAATAGGTAGAGAATTCATTAAGATAAATAATAGTATAAAATATTTTGATTAATGTTTCTTTTTCTTCTATCGTTGTATTGTTTGACTTTATTCCCTTTATTGTGTCAAGAACCCAACAAAAAATTTTTATTTCTGGGGAAGAGGCCATCGTAGTTTGGAATCTACTATTTATGGATTTCAAGAATGCTATACTGTGGGTAGATAAAAAGTTTAAATAAATGGTAAATGAAGACTGATTTATGAGGTCCGTTATGTTTTGACACTTTGTGGTGCTCTATTAGATTGTGACTACATTCAAATTGTAGCAGTTAAGTGATCTTGCATTCTTTCAAGGACTTTGAGTTTTCCAAATTGAAGGTAGCATTAGATGTCAGCCAGTCACTTTGTCCTTTGAAGTTTTTGTCTTCAAATCTGAAATGTCGCCAGTGGTAACAGCTTGTGTGTCAGATCCAATAGAGGAAGTTGGACTCTGCTGGGTTAAACTTAGTCCACTAAAGACTCCTAAAACTTGACATGGTTTACAACTAATAATGCCCACCTCCCATCATTATTTTTAAAATTATAAAAAACGATGTTCATTAATGAATGAAATACTATTAATAATAATTAAGGTTATTCTTCTTGTTCTTCCCCTGCAGACAATTTCTAAAGACTTGGTGAAGGAAGGAAAGCTGTCAGAAAGGCTGCAGTACTATTACATTGTAAGTATTACTATGAAAAAGAAGTCTAAGTTAAGAATATTTAAAATGTCCAGTTGTTTGAGGAAAAATGTTAGGCAAGGTATTATATATAAAAAAATAGGAGGATATGTTATAATCATGTTAATAATTTATGAGAACTAATCCTATGTAGTATTATAAAAATTGAAAATGTATTCTTATGTATTAAGATGAGGATTTTACCAGTAGCATTGAAAAATATTTCTAATTCGAACAAGGATTGATCTAATTTGTGTACATTTGCTTATTTAAAAATATCAGAATCCAGAAAATTGTTGTAGTTTTGTAGGTTGTGATATGTTTGGGTGACTTATTGTTTAGGTTACTTTGCAGAATTATTTATTTGCTGATTTATTTATGTATTTCATTATTTATTTATTTGATTATTTAGTAAATTATTTATCTGATGAATTATTAATACATCTTCATGACATGCTTTAAATTATTTATAACTTAATTTTGAGTTTATTGCTTTTAGAGGCTGCATTGTTACTGACTAGTTTTGATTTTTTTCTTTGTGGTTCTTGAAAATTAAAGTATTAGCTCTAAGGCAAAAGTATATTCACTGCAATGCCCACGGAATTTTTTTTTTTTTTTTATAATTTATGGTAGAGATAAAATTTCAGTTAAGCTTTGTTTAGCTTTAAATTTACCTGTTTAGGGTTACCAATGATAGAATGTTTGTGTGTCATATGCATACTCATTGCAGAACCACTTACAAATTAATAATACAGCCTATCATTTGTAAACAGTGATTGAATGTGTAAACCTCAGTCTACATTATCCTTTGTATTTTTAAAGGGCATGTCTATATTTCTTACTTGCTTTAGAATAAGTAATGAAGTTTTGTTTTAATGCAAAATCTTTTTACCATTGGAATATTTTTAGGATAAAGTTTAGAGAAATGAAGTCCAACTTAGAGTTGGATTCTTGATATATAAATTTGACTAATAATAGTCTTTGTTCTTTAAATCCCTATTATATATATATTTGAAAAACAGCATGATGTTTAAATAGATTTTTATATCAGTCATAATGACATTTATCTCTTATGGAAGACTATATCATTTTGTTTTAATAAACTAAAATGGACAAAGATCTTTGTAAATTTGAGATAAAGTTTCTTTGACTTAAGCTAATAATTCATTTATGTGAAGTTTCTGTTTTTAAGCAAATAAGATCATTTCTTCTTCCTGACTCTGTTTCATAACATAATGCAGTTATTAGGGCTCTTTTATTTAATGAGTTTAACAAATAGGTTAAAGTAGTTACCTTTGTAAAAGAGTGCCATGTGCACAGCATGGTGTTTATTTTGTGTTTGTTTGCAGTGCATCACTACATACTTTACAGTTTTAACACTTCAGAGAGAAGCTGCATTGTACATTTCAAGTTGAGATGCTATTTGAAATATGGTGAAAATGGCCTCTCTAGACAGGTTTCACTATAAAATTGTAAATTATGCATATATATCCAAATTTCTTATTTTGAAATATTGAATATATGAATATTTAATTGGAATGTTGCTTTAGCATCTTCATATGCTTGCATTAAAAGAATTGTTTTCTTTTGATTTATATACATGGCTTTAGAAATGTGTGTATCATACATATCTGTGACTTTTCTGTTCTGGAGATGAACAGCCACAGATACGGTTAGATATAGAATTTTATTTTTAAATGTGCTTCATTATGCCAATGTGGTCTTCTTTAGAAATAAAAAACTGCCTTCTCCAGTGTTGAATCAGATCTGTCATGGTAATCTATTCAGCTCATATTATTAACATATATTTAGAGAGGACTAGCTGTGTTATCCAAATGATCTTTCCTTGAAAGACATGGATATATGTGGACATGAATGTCCATATGAAATTTTTGGATATCAAAATAATTTTTTGAGACTTATCTTTTAAGGCAGATATTCACATAGGCTATTATGGCTGACGTTACTGAGTTCTTACTATGTACAGGCGCAATGCTCATATGGATTATTTGTTGTTCACAGTGAGATAAGTACTGTTATTTTCATTTTTGAAATGAAGAAATAAAGACTTAGAGATATTAAGTAACTTGCTCATTGCCACAAGCTGAGCATAAGAGGTGATGCTGAAAGTAGGATTCGTTTATTCTAACTTAAGGACCTTTCTTCATATCTCATTACAGTTTTGTGTGCATAGATGGTATAATGTAGTTTTTAATCAGTGCTTTAATTTTTTTTAGAGAATGTAGTTATTTATCCTTATATTGATAAATTTAATTTGCTACATATGTTTATTTTGTGTAACATTTAGTCATCTTTCCTAAGTAGCAAGTGCTATAGTTTCTTGAATTTTCTGATTTAATTCTTTTTATAATCCTTTGTCCTTGAGGAAAATTATGTATGGAAGAAAAATTTGTGCCTTGGGGATATTCTGTATTTGCATGTTAGATGTTCAACACTTAGATCAGATCTTTTGAATCTTAAGCCCAAGGCCATTTCCAGGGTTCTGTTAGGTAATAATGTTATTATCTGGGTTAGACAAATATATATTGTTAAAAGAATGAATGAGTGCTTGATGCCTAAGCTTTTATAGACTTGACCACAAACATACTATGTATAATAAGCTCAAATACAGCTTTTAATACACAGTTAAGCATTTTAGTGTACATAAAGAGGACAAGAAAATGGTAGGGTTTGGTGGCTCACACTCTGTAATCTTATTACTCTGGGAGACTGAGGTGGGAGGATTCCTTTAGCTCGAGAGATTGAGACTAGTCATAGCAAGAGTGAGACCCATCTTTACTAAAAATAGAAAAATCAGCCTGGTGTCGTCGTGGTCCCTATAATTGTAGCTACGCAGGAGGCTGAGGTAGGAGGATCCCTTGAATCCAGTAGTTTAGTCTGGGCAACAAAGTGAGACTGTGTCTCCAATGGGGAAAAAAAAGAAGAACAAGAAAGCAACCGATTGTAATTTTAAACAATTAGATATAATTATTTAAAAGATTCTGGGGATCCTTGAAGAAGAAGGAAAGATGTTGTGAATTAATGTGAGGCTAAGGGGAAAGGATCTTGCTAACCATGTTTGTTAACTGAAGACAGAGACACCTCTGTCCTGGGTTTTAAGTACTCAAAGCACATCAACAAACAGAAGAATTAGACGACAACAGAGTTTGGATAATGTTGATATGAGTGCCATCAGTAATTGTAGGTGTATGACTGGTAGGGTACTGTATGAATCACTCAGCGTTTTTAAGTTAGAAAGACTTTTCAAGTAAATAATGTTACTTTATAAAATCCTAGAAACATGATTTAGTAATATGAAATGCTGTAATAGCTAGCAGACCATATAATTTATCTTCTAATCCAGGATAGTTTTTTTTTTTTTTTTTTCCTGGAGTAGAGTGTTGTGACATCATCAGAGCTCACAGCAACCTTAAACTCTTGGCCTCAAGTGAATCCTCTTGCCTCAGTCTCCCGAGTAGTTGGGACTATGTGGCAACTGCCTACTTTTTCTGTTTTTAGTAGAGACAGGGTCTGGCTCTTGCTCTGGCTAGTCTCAAACTCCTGATCTCAAGAGGTCCACTGGCCTTGGCTTCCCAGAGTGCTAGGATTACAGTTGTGAGCCATGGCGCCCAGCTTAATCTAGCATATTTTTGAGAGTGAAAGGCTGTGCTGTAGGAAGGATAGTAGGTATAAACTGAACTTCGTATTGGGTAATTCCTAATAGTTTTGTATAGTGTATATTTAAGAAGAATCTTAATTTACATGCAATACTTTTAAGAACGTTTTATTTGATGATAAACCAACTCCTATTATGGCTAGTATTTATGTGTTTTTGTCATATGACTTTATATGTTATAACATGTTTTACAGCTTTTGGAACCTATTTTCAGAGTAAAAGTAAAAGAGTATTACTACTGAGAGCAGAAAGATAAGTATGAAAGTGGGTTATAGTTTAGTGGATAGTTCTTAAAGTTTTTCTTCATATCAAATATTATAGGGTTTTCTTTTTTTGGAAATCTTCTAATAGTTTGTTTGATGTTGTTCTGAAAGTTAATCCATTTGTTTTACCTTTAGAATTTATAATTTCATGTTGGATGATCTAGTGACCTTTTTTTTACTCCTTAAAAGCCACGTTACAATCCATGTGTATTGATAAAGTTGACAGTTTTGCCAAAACATCTTTGAAAGCAACTGTGTTATCTAAAATTCTGTGGGGGCAGATAGAAATCTCTTGATGAGTATAGCTTAATATTTTTTGTTTTCTTCATATAATTTTCATTTTAATTCCTTCCTGATGTATATTTATCTGACATGACAGGTTATGTTATTAAAGTCATAATTAGATTATAAAATTTTAATTTCTTTTTTTTTGTGGTTAGAACATACATGACTTGTTTAGTTCAACTGAGTAATCACAGTGGCATATTTGTACTTGAATGTGTATTAAAAAGTCATAAAGTTTGGTGCAGTGGCTCATGCCTGTACTCCTAGCACTCTGGGAAGCCAAGGCGGAAAAATCACTTGTGCTCAGAAATTTGAGAAGCATGAGCAAGAGTGAGGACCCTTCTCTACTAAAAAAGAAATAGAAAATTTAGCTGGGTGTTCTGTTGGGCACCTGTATTCCTAGCTACTCATGAGGCTGAGGCAGGAGGATTGCTTGAACTCAGGAATTTGAGGTTGCTGTGAGCTAGGCTGACAACATGGCACTCTAGCTTGGGCAACAGAGTGAGACTCTGTCTCAAAAAAAAAAAAAAGCTGAAAAGGCTTTTATGCAATAAATTGTATTCATTCATATGTATAATATTAAATTCTTTTTTGTTGTTGTTCAGAAAGGCCTATTATAACTGGTAACAAAAGAAAGAACTATTTGCATGTTCTCCCTTAAGTTTGTCACTGTATGAAGCACTTCCCAAAATACTTACCACTGTACCAATAAGGCTTATTGGTTGGCTCTGAGGGTAAGTGTTTTTATACTTATGACAAGTAAAAGCACAGCCAAAGGT